AATTTTTTCTATATATATTAGTTGGCCAATTAGTTTCTTTCTATTTATAGTAGAGACGGGGTCTCGCTCTTGCTCAGGCTGGTTTCCAACTCCTGACCTCGAGCAATCCGCCCGCCTCGGCCTCCCAGAGAGCTAGGATTACAGGCGTGAGCCACCGCGCCCGGCCCAAAAGTTCATTTCTTCCTTGGCAACTTCAGCCACAGTCTGCACAGATAAGTTTTTTCCAAGAGAGAATTAAGCAAAATGTTTCCAGTGTATTTCCTTCTCCCTGGGATCAGACTTTGCCTTGATGTTGTATCAGTCACGTAGGATCTACTACACGAATACACAGGGGTGACAAACCATATGAAGAACCCCCACACGGCAAAGGGCAGAGGCTGGTGGGTACACACCTTTCTGCTCCAGGTGAGCAAATGCCCCAGGGAGCCCAGCACACATTCTCTGGGTTGGGCTTATTCCAGCAAAAATCCATGTTCTATCTCTGCAACTGTATTAACATTTGGTACAACAAAACACACAATTCCATGGACCCAACATTTGTTAGGCAGGTGTTCTACGTGAGCCCCAAACATGAAGAAGTTAGCTGAATTTTTCCCTTTGTTTTATGACAGAAGTATTACGATTCAGCATTGTTTTTATTGGAAACATTGTTTGTTTTTATTGGAAACATTTTTTGTTTTCCAAAAAGGACATGTTTTCTAAACACATAAATACAATATTTTAAAAATGAATCTGAGCTAGGACATATTTAAGGTTGTTAAAGTTGGCAGTCCATTTCTTTTTTCAAAAACCCAAATTATGTGTCTGACAATTGTGGCCTCAATAATATGTTAGCTTGAAATACAAGTAAACTGATACAATATAACTGAACACGTGAGGAAACCCCCAGTATACCACACCTTCAAACAAGACTTGTATGTTGGGAAAAGTTTATTTTTAGAAGCAAAAGTGCCTGGCAACTTAATTGAAGCAAGACAAGTCAAACATTTGTTCCACTTAATTGTGATAAGATGTCATTCCATTTGACTGTTTTAATATCTTCCTATCATTTGACTATCCTTCCAAACTGATTTTACTGTGAGTAGAAATTACAAAATTTCAAAGAAAAAATATTTTAAAAATAACAAAAATTATTTTGAAATTTCTACCTTCTTCATTAAAATAAAAACAATGTATGGGGTAGCAACACGTACTTTATTGAATCATGAGCTATATTACTTGCTACAGAATGCTAAAAGGAATGGTCTATTTGGTAGAATATGTGTGCACACACACGCATATTCATATACATATCTATACATATGTATGTATATAAACATATACATGTCTGTATCAATTAGATGAAAATTTTTTCTGGGTTTTTCTGACAATACACCTGTGTGGGCAACACATTTTGAATCTATTGTAGTTAAATACTTGCTTTTCCCTTTCGTCAGCTTCTCTCCCCCTTAGTACTTGCATGCTCCCTCTTTCTTTGGTATGCTTGTGAAACTCACTGTCAAGAAAGCTTAAAAAGCTCCTTTATACTACAGTGTCAATGGTTGATATCTTCTATAACAGTCATCTTGCCTAAAGATACTGGCATTTTCGTGGGATATTTCGTGGGCATTTTAACCAAGGCTGAAGCCAAAGGTGCTTAGTGAAGGGTGAGATGGGGTGAATGGGCGATTTGCCTGGATCAGTCTTCTGGAGCCCACCCTAGAGGTGCCCGTTGTGGGTGCAAGTGCCTGGCTTGTCTGCCTGTGCAGATCTGGCAGCCACGGGCACTGGTTAGCACATGGACACCTTGCCGGGGGCACCTGGTGGCAGGTGCCCAGAAACACTCTCGAGGGCATGTCCAGCAGGGCTGGGAGCAGCTCCCGATTCCCAAACGACCTCCGAAGACTCGGGTTCCAGGAAGTCGTGTGGAGAGCGCCGACTGTCCTTCTGCCCCCTCCGCTTCTCCGTGAGCGCCAGGAGGGCTGCCGTGTATCTGCTCATGGCTGTGACCGACACCGCCATGCAGAGGGCGAAAGAGCCCCAGGCGAGGCTGCCAACAGAAGGCACAGTCAGGAAAGGGCCTGGGGCTGTGGCTCCAGGGCTTCCTGCTGGAGGGCAGTCTGGTGAAAACCCAGCTCCCAGGTCTACCCAGCTTGGACCTGCATTTCCCATCACAAATCCCAGAGACCAGCCAATGCATTGTTCAGCCCGCTGGTTAAGAGAATGGATTCTGGAGTCATTGTGCTGAGTTTGCACCAGGGCCCCACTTCTTGTTAACTGCGTGACCTTGAGCTGGTCACTTTACCTCTTTGTATCAGTTTCCTCATCTGCAAAACTAGAATAACGTCAACGCTGCCACAGGGGGCTCTTGCGAGGAATTCAATGAGCTAATGTGGGAAATACTTAGAATAGTATCCGCTGCATGTCAGTATTACTTATCATTGTTGTCGTTGGCTCTAACCCAGGACACTGGCACTGAACATGGTTATTCTTATGTTCACGTCCAGGCTGGAAGCCCCTTGCATGCCGAGACAGTGGGCTGTACTTTGCATCCTTTGCAGAACCCAGCACTGTGTCGGCAACATGGTAATCAGCACCTACTTTAGACTAAACGGGGTTCAAATGTTTGAATTATTGTGAGACAGAGAGAAGGGTTGTGTGGTGGACACAGAGCTAACTTAGAGCAGGGCAAAATGTAGAGCCCACAGCCACCCTTTGGATGGATGATAAAAATAATTCACATTATTGTATGCTGATGCTGTGATGAGCACCGGATTACCTAATTTAACCTCACAGCAACCCGCTGGTGGGAAAACTATAATTACCCCATTTTACAGATGAGGAAGCTGAGAAGTTAAGTAACTTGTGCACAGTCACCTGTTCGAAAGAGGGACACCCCGAATTTGGGTCCAGAGACCCAGATTTGACTCCAGCTGACTTGCTGGACTGCTGCCACCCGGGGCTATGTGCTCTGTTAACCAGCGACAGCCCTCAGGGCTCTGGGTGGGGCCTGGCTTTGTTTAACGTTTTCATTAAGTGGGTGATTGCTACGGTTTAAATGGGCAAGAATAGGAAAAGCGTGGAAAGTGAACCCTGACAGTGAGAAAAATGTCGTTTTGCGGGGAGGGGAAGTCCCGGTGTCCATAGGGGGTGCTGCGTGCGATCTGTGCTGTTAGGTGCAATACAGGATAAAGGAGGAGAATTTTTCTCGGTGTTTTCTGATGACGTTAGGTAGATGTGCAACCCCCAAATGGGATGAAATGCTGCACATCACGCAAAACAGGGGAGGGAGGGGACTTCTGGGTTTAAATGAAAGACGGACTTCGAGGGCTCATCGCCTCTCTCCACACCCCTCTGGAACGAGAGAGCAGCGGGATCGGGTACCAGTGTGAACACAACTGGCAAAGGGAGCTGGAGAGGAGACGGGAGAGGACAGAAACAGCTGGGAGAGAGATGACTCATTCATAGAGCGAAGGATGCTGCACAGAGAGTCTGGCGAGAGGGGCCCAGCAAGATAAGAAGGATGTTTGTTATATCAGCCCCACTGAATCCTTGACAGGCTCAAAGCTTTGAGGCACAAATACAACACAAGAAATCAGGGGATTCGGGAGGCTAAGGCAGGAGGATAGCTTGAGCCCAGGAATTTGAGGTTGCTGTGAGTGGGTGAACTTGGGCTAATTATAATATCATTTCCATTGTGGTTTTAAAATTTCTCTGCCCTTGAAATCACATGAAAGTCCCAAGACAACCATATAAAGCACAAAGACGGGGAGGGAACCCAGTTCTAGGAATTATGACCCAGATTCTTAGTAAAAGCCAACACCTGAGCATTGAATATTCCTCCTCTCAATTAACAAAACTTCAAAAGACCAAAAACCACTTCCTCCCAATGCAGCTGCTCTTTTTGAGACTTCTTTCTCCCTTTCTCTCTCTCTCTTTCCTCTCTTTTGATTTCAATAAAAAAAGCTGTTGATTGGTTGGGTTACATGATACATCCTGAAATTCTTTTCCTGATGATCACCAAGAACTTGGAAAACCTCCACTCAGAGACCACTGACAGTCTGTAGATCTGGGGTCCCCAACCCTGGGCCACAGCCTGGTGCCAGAATGTGGAAAAATTGTCTTCTGTGAAACTTAGGGAATGGGCCTCATAGCAGGAGGTCTGCGGTGGGCAGGTGAGTGAAGCTTCATCTGTATTTAGAGCCACTCCCCATTGCTTGCATCACCACCCGAGCTCCCCTCCTGCCCCCGTCCATGGAAAGATTATCTTCTATGAAACGGGTCCCTGTTGCCAATGTTGGGGACCGCTGCTGTATATGGATGGTTGGCCCCCAGGTCTCCTTACCACAAACACTCTCCCCTGCCTCCCCTTGCCCGGGAGAGCGAGGGCTCATTCTCTGGGAAGGTGGACAGGAGGAAAGCTCCAGATTCAGAGACGGTGGACTCCATGGATGCCCAGGGGAAGGGGCTGGTCTGAAAACAGGGAGTGCATGAAAATTTGCTCGTGGAGTGGGAAGCTGTCCGGTCCCCTTTCCATCCCTAACCCCAGGGACCTTCCACCAGGCATCCAAGCTTACCCACTTTCTGTAGATGTTGGACGACTCCCTTCTGAAGATGCTCAGTGGTTGCAGAAAAAGAACTGCAACCTGGCATAAGGGTGTGTTTTTTATTTTCAGATAAAAGCAATGGCACCACACCCTATCATATAGCAAAAAATCACATGCACAAAAACAAAACAAACAAACAAAAAACCCCTCACCAGTAGAGAGATTCAAACCCTGCTCCAGAGTTTCCAATCACTCTTAAATACGATTTGACAATTAAGGATACCAACATTTGGGGGAAAGGCCCCAACAACAGAAAAAGGGGAAAAGATTCTAAAGGAAAAAGACAACACAAGGAACAGGAGAAAACGGCAACAAGAAGAAAACCCTCTGATTAATATTCTCAGAGGGATATGAGAAGATGCTGCATCAATAAAGCAAGATCAGGATCCTGTGAGAAAGAAACAGCTGGAAAACAAGAAAAAGCTCTTGGAAACTAAAACAAGATCCAAAATAAGAATACTATAGAAAGGTTAGAAGACAAGTAGAGGGACTTTTCTAGAAAGTATAACAGAGAAAGCGATAGAAAATATAAGGAAAGCAGTAAGTCATTTAGATAATTAACTCAGAAGAATATCTCACTAATAAGAATTTTCTAAAAAGAGAACAGAAAACTGAGCAGAGAAAATAAAGAAATGATACAAGAAAAAATCCCATCTAGGACACAAATGTCCAGGTTTAAGGGCGCATCACACACAGGGATGAAGGATGAACGTGAAGGAAAGAAGATCCCTGCCAAGGGACATCATGGTGACATCTCAAAACGCCAGTGATAAAGAGAAGAAAACGACGGGCCGCCTAAAGAGGCACATGAATCAGGATGGTGTTGGACCCTTGACAGAAACAATAAATGCCAGAGGAAAAAGGAGCAGCATCTTCAGAATTCTAAAGCAAAATGACTTTCAACAAAGAATTCTGCACTCTGCCAAACCCTCAGTCAAGTGTGGAGTATTGAATGAACGCATTTCCAGATACACGAGAAATAAAACAATTTCTCTCTCACTGAATCCTTTCTTAGGAAGCCACTGGAGGAAGTTCTCCCACAACATGTGGATGTAAACTAGGTAAGATAATGCTATGGGACCTAGAGAACAGCGTCCCCACACTGGGGAGTGGCATAGGAAACCTGCTGGTGACAGTTCTGGATGGCAACCAGTCCAGGATAGAGCAGGGAGATGGAGGCTGGAAGGGTTGCACAGGGAGAGAACATTATTGCTAGATCGTTATGGTCAGTTCTATTTGATTTGTAAAAACTATTTGCATGTATTTCTTCATTAAAAATTAAGTCCCCTAAAGCAATAGGAAGAAACAAAGCAAAATGGTATTGGAACCAGACCATTCTTCAGCCTGCTCTGGTGTTTGGGATTCGCTTCCACCCATAGCAGCAGGAGCTCAGCCCAAATGGGCCAAGGTTGAGGACCCGCCTACCAGTCGTCCGAGCTCTGCTGTAACTGTACTGTCATCGGTGTGCAGTGCCAGTGCTGTCACCTCAGGACCGGTGGCACTGGTTCAGGGGGAGGCAGCGAAAGCAACAGACAGGTGGAGGGGCAGGTGTACAGGGATGTCTTCAGACTGGGAAGGCAAAGGCTGAGAAGAGTTTGAAATGGAACAAATCACGAAGCATACGGATCACAGTAACACAGACATGCTCAGCAAGTCCTGGAAGAGCAGGATGAGGGCTGAGCCCCGAAAGCGTCATGTGTTTTACAAAGAGGAAAGTGGCATAAGAGGTTGTTACATAAGATTATACAAGATGGAAATGTAAGTATATGTACATCTGTTTTTAAGGCACCATATGCTCCAGAGGCCCACATCACAGAGAACCCCCGTGGTCTTGCATGATGTCGCCAAGTCTTTCAATTAGAGGCAGAACTTCGCTGTCACGGCCTCGTCTTGCATTAGAAACAGGGGCTGGGTCTCCCCTCATTAAGGTATTTATTAGGGTTTACAGATCAGGACACTTCCCGAACGCTGTGTCAAAGAATGTAATGACAACAATGTCTCCATTTCTTGAGGACTTCACTATGTGCCAAGAATTTTATAAGTGATCTCTTTAAATCCCTATTAAAACATTTGAGGCAGGTACCCTCACTTTATGTATGAGGAAACTGGGCTACAGATAGTTTCCAAAACCAGCCCAAAGTCACGTGATGAGCAGATGTCAGCGCTAGGCCAAGGGTGGTTGTCGTACAAAACTTATGTGTGTCCCTCCTGGTCTGCCAGGGTTGGGTACCATGACCCAGTAACTTACCAATAGGACCAGCCATAGTCCCAAGTCTGAGGCTTCCAATCATCTGGTCCAAGGTTCACGGTGATCCGAAAAATGGTTGTGTACATCATGTGGGCCACCATGCCTAGGAGCCCTGCGCAAGGAAAGCTTTGTGAGCCACACTTAAGAATGCGACATGATAGAAGAGCTTCTCTACCTTGCACGGGTTGGCTATGGGGCACTCTCTAGCATCCATAACGTCCGTGTGATGCACCTGCACTCACACATCCTTAGGCATTCCACCCGACAGCTCATTCCCACGGTTGAAACTGAAGAGACCTTCAATCAGGGAAGGCCTGCCAGGACCTGGGCAGGAGTCTCCAAGAATCCACAGCCTGTTTGTTTGCTAGGAGGATCCAGAATTGGAGTTTCAGCAACCAGTTTGCTGGTGACAAGGCGTGGGAATGATGCATTACACTTATCAAGCAAAGAAGTGAGCAACAAATTGGATGGATAGATGCACCATTAACTCAACAGAGCTTTGTGTATCCCCCGGAGAACAGAAGGAAGTTGTTTGTTCTGGGGTCTTTCTCAGTGGAAAGACCCACTTAGGAGAACAAATTATATTACTTTAAAAGTTCCTTGGAGAACACAGAAGTAGAACTAAAAGAAGGAGTTATTTACTTTTATGGAAGGTATCAAACTTGACTACTCATTTTTTAAAAGCTACCATTTATCGAGTACTTGTTATATACAAGGTGTGTTCTTATTTAGCCATCACCAAAGTTTTTTGAGAGACTCAGTGACGTTCCATCATAGAGAAGTTAAGTCACTCGCCTGGGTCACACAACCCTTAAGTAGACATCTGCAGCTAGGCAGGTTCCTGCACAGACTCGTGTCTAACCACCGTATTAAATGAGGTGATTCCAGTTCTCAGAGCCAGTGTCCCCCATTCCCTGGTTATGACAAATTTGACTGTCTATCTGTGCCCTCCCCCTTTTCATCAGTCACCCAAAGAACACTGTTTCCATCCAATGGGAGTAATTCAGTGACTTATCCAGTGGTCCAGCCATCCTGCCCAACCGGCCATCGACCACTCTTTGGCAAGGGACACGCCCGGGCTGAAGCTCCGCAAACCCTCTGGGGCAGCCCGTTCTAGGGATGCTGTTGGAAGGTACCTGCGAGCACCATGAGGATGGCTACCGCGGCATTCACCTTGAGCCAGTCAAGCCCGGAGCTGTCACGACTCACTCTGGAGCCCAGAAGGATGGCATTTGTCAGCACCAGAAGGACATCCAGGACCTCGGCCCCAATGGACAGCCACAAAACACCTGCCGAAGGAAGGGACGGTGGAAACACCGGGCATTCAGACTTCAGAAGTACAGGAATGCTCAGTCCTTTCATTTAGTTCACTTCTAAAACAAAAAAGATACTTTCGCTGAATCTTGGAAGGTTGGTGATGTAAGGGGGCTACTCTGGCTAGAAAGAGACATTTGTAAAGATTGCCCAGAGCTGGGAAGGAAAAAAAAAACTAAGCAAAACCCTGGTGTGAGGACATGAGCAATGCCAGGGGGCTCCATGTCCCAGCTGAAAAGCTCACGTGTTGCTTTGATTCCACTAGAAGATGTTATCTTTGCCTTTTTAAAGAAGAAGATGCACAAATTTAAACATGGGGCAGAGGAGTCTGAGGTTTGAAGAGCCCCGTCTGGAGGTACCAAAAGCTCATTTGTTTCTGTGTGAGCCCCCTGTCTGCCCTCTGGGTGGGACCCCCCTGTGGCTTCAAGAAACTGCACTGGATGTGGAGCCGACAGGAAGGGAAATTGGTATGTGTAAAGGGACTGCTATAAGGCAAGTTAGGCCGTGAGGACACGGCCATGGATGAAATAGATTTGAACCACGCCTTCACAAAACCTACGTTCCAGCGGGAGAGGGAGGACACCGAGAAAGTAATTACAAATTTAATGAGCGTTAGAGAGAAGAAACAGTGCCATAGGCAGTGGTGTGCCAGAGTTCATCCCTTCCCAACTCTGCCTTCGCCTTGTGTTTATAGCTTGAAATCGGCCGTGGCGGGGATATTTACACCATGGAAAGCGGCAACCACTGCCAGTCGGGGCTTCGCCTCCTGCATGCAAAGTTGTCTGTTAAACATCTGCCAGCACAGCACTAGCTAGGGGGCTCATGACGAGAGTCTGTGGTTCTAGCTGTTGGACTCAATTTCATGGAAAAATCATTAATAACTCTCATCTTTCCCCCACTCCTAATAAAACAATAAAAATTGTCTAAATTGTGAGGGGTGCTGGTGGGCAGGGCATGAGTAAGGTATTTACCTTGTTCTTCAGCTGGTATTATACTCTGGAAACTCCTGCACTTTTCATCTAAAAGATAAAGGGAACGAGAATGCATCCGTAAGTAGGGCTAAACTCCACAATGAGGGGGCAGATGGTGCTTCCTGTCTCTTGGCTGTTTCCCAGCGCATTTTGAAGGAGGAATGGGGAACGTGGTGACTGCCTTACTGCTCACAGGCATGTGGTTCCCCTCGGGGAGCATGATACAATCTGCCCTCTGGAACTTGGGCTTGGCCATGTGACTTGTGTGGCCAATGACCTGGGATTGGAAGTGAGGTGGGCCACTTCTGGCCAGAAGTGTTAAGAGTCAATGCACTGCTCACCTGGTTCTTGTTCCCTTGCTCTGTGATCACAGAAGGACATGTCAAAGGGGTCTCCATGCCTGGGGCCCAGAATGGCTGCAGTGAGGAGAGCCCCCCTGGCAACCTGGAAGGTCATATTAACATACCTTCCAGGGCTATTAACTGTCCACCACAATCGGCCTGAAGGAGAGTATTCACTCAACTGGGGCTGAGGACAACAGAATCAGGGACCTGTGTGTTCCTGCGCAGCCACAGTGGCCTCTGCAGCATTGAATTGGCAGCTTTGGGTTAATGCCACTGGACATTTCTCCTGGTTGATTTTCTGACGTTGGCGGCAGCAGCAGCATCGTGGTCAGTGCAGCAGAAATTCATCCAAGTCACCTCAATTCTACCAGGGAGGTCCCCAAAGCACTGGGGAAATCTCAACACTTAGCACTTGGGGGCTGATGCAGCACTGTTTTCCACGTGACCTCATCTGACCCTAACCACACCTCTGTGAGTCCGGCCAGCGCAAAGGCACATGGGTACCGTGGACAACATGTGGCATTTAAACCCACGAAGCCTGGCTTCTCTGCATGGCTCTGCCACGGTCAGTAATCACAGCAAGTTTCCTGACCTCTCTGAGCCTCACTTTCTTTATCTGCAAAATGGGTACTGTGAAAGTTCTCCCATCACAAAGTTGTGAACATATTTTGTAAACTTCATAACGCATGTCTGTGTGTTTGATTATTGATAAAGTCAATATCAAGTATGAGAATCATTATTTTACAGACGTGAAGGCCAGGCTCAAACAGGTTGGTAAGGTCAGGGATTGAAAATCAGGTTTTCCCACATGAGACTCAGACCCTTTCGCTACATGCCCACCTGCCGTCTCTCTGCCAGCGCGTGGAGCAGGGAGGGTCCAGCTGCCTTTGCCAACAGGGACAAAGATGAGGCAGTGCAGGGCCGGGCTGGGCAAAGGGAAAGTGGAGGCCGGCCAAGGAGATTAAGAGAATTCACCGTAGCTTAGAAGGGTGAGTTTAGATCAGGCCTAAAGAGTCAGGCTGCAGCAACCTCTTTGATTAATATGGATCCTCAGAAATGGTGTTCCTTTTGAATAAAGCCAGAGGGATTAAAAGAAAAAATCTTGATAAATCCCATGAAGCCAGAGAGGCGGGTGTTACATAGCTCGACAGCGCTCGGCGGCCAAGCGGCTCGGAAAGCCAGCCCTGGGCGCCGCTGTCCCAGTCCTCGGTGCTCAGCTCTGGCATCCCCTGTCTGCTCCTTCTGCCTCCGCCCCCCAGTCGCACCCCCACCCCTAGTGGGGCGCGGAGGTCCCTCTGTCCTTGAACTTTGTGAGTTCAGCAGAATAGCACAGAATCTAAAATCAACACATTTTGTTGATGAATCAATTCACCTAAGGAAAAGAACATTTAGTCCAAGGCTGCCTGCACTGGGAATTTTCATTTCAAGTCGTCATTTCAGAGAGTGGAATGAAAGGTGTTGCCTTTCTTCCAAGGCAGTCTAGGAAAGAAAGGACAGAATTGTTGGAGGTGGCTCGTGCAGAGGATAGCACTCGAGGTGAGGGCCTCCCTGGAGGGTCAATTTTTAGGGGGACGGCGCTGATTGAGAAGGAAAGCTCCTCGTACGGCCCCACGGGGCAGCAGAGCTTGGTGGTAGGACGCCCCTTTCCTGCACTTGCTCAGGGCCAATGAGCGCCCTTCCTGGACTGGGGCTCTCACTGCCCGCCCCGTTAGCTCGCCGCCCGCTCCGGGCCCCCTCTCTAGAGCACTGTTGAGCTTCTTCCTGCTTATCCCCAGTCCTAACCCTTTTCTTTCTTATGCCCCAAAGCTCCCTGGTACCTGTGACAAGTTAGACTACATAGCAGATGTCCGCGTGGTGCCATCTCCAGTGGGGCCCAGCTACGCTCTGTGGCAGAACATGGTTTCTTCGGCCCCTGTGATATTTTTAAGTTGGGAGATTTTACAAAGACATCCACATGTCTTAACTTCCCTTGAAAACTCAGAGGATCTGATAATGCCGTTTGGGCTCACAGGTGCTCACGACCTCAAAGCTGAGCGGAGCGAGAGGCGGCGCCCTGAAGTTTCGGGGTCATTGGCACCCCCAGGCTCACCCGGCTTCCCCCCCCGTCTGTTACTGCCTCCTCTGGGCGTTTGGGTTGCCAACTCCTGCTGCACAGTTTTTGCTGTGCCCTCTGATATGTTTGGTATGTATTTGTTTATTGTCGGGTAAGAATTTAATTCTAAACATTTTTGCTTTAGGGGCATCCTGCAACACACAGAGGCGACAGTGCTCCTTTGCGGGCAGGGGAAGGCGCTCTGGGCAAGATGTCCTGTTTTATTCCTTAATACGGTGACGGCGACTCTCATTTACCTGAGCGACCTTATTACATTAAGAAATATGCAAAATGCGAGCAGAGGTTTTTTAGATTGGCGGGCACACAATTCTTCACTGATGATTTTAAGAGTTGTTGCCCTTCAGCTAAGTTTTGTGCCTTGTGGGGTAACAGGAAAAGTCAGGGCTAAGATTTAAGCAATTTTGAGTTCTATGCTCAGGTCCATTGGCATCTAGCTGTAAAATCATCAAAGGGGCACTTGTAATATACCTCTAGAACTCAAGTTTTCCCATCTGTAAAATGACTCTGTTGTTCTAGGTCAGCCTTTTCCAAAGCGTGTTCCACTGAACAATCGTCTCACGGAATATTCATCCTTATTATACATAAAAAAATTTCTTCAATGGCCAATAAGTTTGGGGAAACACTGTGACATGTGATATTAAGCAGGTTCCTTCTAGTGGGACTTCTCAGAGGTTTTGATACACTAACGCGCATTGTAAATTTTCAAGAAGAAAATGTAACGTAATATGCAATATTTTCAAAATTTGTTTGACTATCAAAACTCTTTTTGTTTATTTTTACAAAGAGCATCTCAATAGGCATGCCTGTGGAGTAATCTTTAAGAACATCCAGGGAGGTACTTGTTAAGGGCTCTTTCTGTCCTGACATTAAGAACGTATTTGCACATAAATCAGAAAGGGATTGCTATGGTTTGAACGTCCCCTCAAAACTCATGTTGAAACAGTCCCCAGTGTGGCAGTATGGAAAGGTGGGGCTTTTAAGGGGTTATTGAGGGCAGGGCCCTCATGAATGGATCAGTCCATTCAAGGATTAATGGGTTAATGTGTTAATGGCTTAATGGGTTATCATGGGAGTGGGACAGGTGGCTTTATAAGAAGAGGAAGAGAGACCTGAGCTGGTGCACTCAGCCCTTCACCAAGTGCTACCCTGTGCCACCCGGGGATTCTTCAGAGGCTCCCCACTAGCAAGAAAACTCTCATCAGATGAGCCTCCAAGACCTTGGACTTCCCAGCCTCCATCACTGTAAGTTATAAATTCCTTTTCTTTATGAATTACCCAGTTGCAGGTATTCTGTTACACATAACAGAAAACGGACTAAGAGAGAGATCAAGAAATATTTCTGCTTGGTGTTGTCCAGGCATCATCCTTAGAATTCAGCGTGTGTTCCTGACAATATAAGGAAGAGCCTTCAGTGGGGTGTGTGTGTGTGTGTGTGTGTGTATGTGTGTGTGTGTGTGTGTGTGAAGGAGACACCCCGTGGGTTGGCCAAAGTACCAAGGGGACTTCCTCGAGAGGAAGGAGACTGAAGGAACCTTACACGGTCTCTTGCCTCTGCTTTCAGGCTGAGAAGACCACCCCACCCCCCACCCCCACAAGCTGGGCAACAATTTCTTATCAGAAATCTTTAGGGGGGGCGTTTAGATCATCTGCCTGTGTGGTGTTTGTGTGCCCATGGGAGGCCCACGTGAGGGTGGCCAGCTCACAGCTGCCTCCTGTCCTCCCCAAAGTCCGGCTCCACCCTGCGCTCAGGTCCGGCCGTGCAGACTCTTTCGTCCCGGCTCCCTGGTTACCGAGGAAGCAGCTTCCGTCTGTCTAATTTTCTAAGTCTTGTGCTCAAGTTCAGGTGCTGCTGTGACCCCAGCTCCCCCTGACGTGACAAATACTAAGCTTCCAGTTTTCTCCAGTGAGGCCTTTTCTTTCTAGGAAATGTCCTGCTCAGTTCCTTGTGCTTGGAGTGACAGTGACTTTATGCTGCAGGGGGAGGAGAAGCTGTCTCAGGTGACACGGAAGAGCCACGGCAGTTAAGTGCTGCAAGGAGGTTCCTCCTCTCCCCACCTGTGTTCTGATGCAAATGCCTGGGCTGCGCGTCCTCAGGCCCTGGTCACTCAGTTCCGTCTGCCCGGACAGTCCTCATCCCTCATCTCTGTCTATTAAAATCACAGCCTCGTGGGCCGGGCACAGCGGCCACCTCCCCTACGAGGCCTTCCCCGCGCCCAGCGCTATAAATAACCTCTGCTTCCTTTCCACCTCCTTATCATACACAAGTCTTTGTTCTAACCATTGTCATATTTTTCCTCATTTTTATCTTAGGTCTCCCCATGGGAGCCTTAACCTCAGCTCTGTGGCTCACTTGCCTTCGTGTTAATACCTCCTGTCCTCGTGGGCCCGTGTCTGACAGAAAGGCTGTGAGTGAGCTCACCCACGCTGTGCTCAATCCCGTCTTTCCGCAGGGCTTTGCTGGACTCTGGGACATACTTCTCTACCGTTAGCGTGTGTCATAGTCACCAGGGCAGCTTATTAGAGACACAGATACCACCGGGTAGAATAGAGAGTGGAGCAGAATGAAAACACTAATGCTATGAGGATGGGTAAAGAAAAGGCAATGAGAAACTCCCGGGAAAGCAAAAAGCTGTACAAACTAATAAATGTAATCATAGCACCCTCTTTGATGCTATAATGAACAATATGGATATGATAAAGTTAAAATAAATTATCGTTTTATTGCTTTAAATAAAACAGCAACATAACTTTATAAGGAAGAGGGCAGAGGGTAAGTGGGATGTGGTGTGAGTTAAATCCTATTTATTATAACAAAAAGTCAATAGATAATGTCTAAGATGAACCAGTAAGTTAAAAGTGATTTTCCCTAAAGGGTGGGCCTAAGTTATGTAGAAGGAAGGGGCAGGAGACTGTTGGTTTTTCTTGCAAGCCTTTCAAAATGATCTGATCTCTTATCTATGTATAAATAGTATCTCAATTAAATTTTTAAAAATGCAGATTTCTAGGCCCCTTCCAAGTTGACCTACTGAATTATAATAGAACCTTCAGGGCTGGGCATGTGGATTTTTAATAAACTCCTTGAGTGACTCTGCTTCACACTAACATTTGATACTGGGAGTGATGCACATATATATATATCTGGAAATAGAAGCACTTAGGCAGTCCTCGGATGGGGACTTAGAAAGGAAGTGCAATTTCTCAAGCAATTTTCCTATGTGTAGGGTGACTATAGTTTCCAAACCAAAAATCTGGGGCCGCCTTGGGAGCCCTGCAGGACGCAGGGTCACGGGCCTCCTGCATCTGTCCACGGCCGACGGCAGAGAATAGGCACACAAGGATAGCACCCCCTGGGAGAAGAGGGAGTGGGGAGGTCCCCAAAGCAGCCTCCGCTCCAGGCAGCGCTGCAGCGTCTGCACTTAGAGCAGGGGCGCAGGCACCCACCTGGCTAACGTGGCGGGTGGGGCTGGGCCCTGCCCTCAGGGCCACCTCTGCAGGGGAGGGGTGGGGAGGTGCACGCAGCATCTCAGAGGGTTTATTCCTGTTGCCTTTGACCCAGCCCTCAGGAATAAAAAACAAATGCTCTGAGGATAGGAAAAGAAAAAGCAATTGGAAACTCCAGGAAAAGTGAAAAACTGTAAAGAAATTTAATGTGGTAAGCCTGAGGTCAGGAGAGAAATGGGGACAGGTGGGGAGTCCTCCCCTTTCCACCCGCGGAGGTTTTGCTTCCCAAGCAGAAAGAGCAGCGTGTCCTGGCCCTGAGCACGGGCTTGCAGCCAGGCCGGGGGCGGTGAAGGGTCAAATTCCCCCTACTAGGTTCTTTATGAAGTAAAAATAAAACACTTATTTTTGAAAGATTTGCTTTGAGACCATTCCAAGTACAGGAGAAATAACAGGGATGCATTTTAGAATTGGATGGGGGTCCTTGGATTCCCAAAGGATTTTGAATATCAGGGATTGGGTAACAATAACAAATGGTAAAAGCTAAATGTTTAATAAACACTTACAATGTGTCAGACGCTTTTGCAAGTGCTTTATGTGAATTAGTTATTTAATCTGTGCAATAACTCTAGGAGACAAATATGGTTGTTGTTCCCATTGTATAGATGAAAAACTGAGGCTCAGAGAAGTTAAGGGACTTGCTCATGGGTACACAGACAGTCAGTGGACACCTGGATTCCAACCTCGGCAGCCTGGCTCCAGAGCCCCTGCTCCATCCTGCACCTGTCACCCCGGGAGCCTGCGGGCCATGCTCACCTGCACCGTTGAAGCTCTCCTCGCAGGACTGCCAGAGTCCCACATGGAACCTGCGCTGGGCGAACTTGTCTTCCCCTGTCTCCCACATGTACTGGACCTCCTGGCTCTTGTTGTCCCTCCTGCTACCGCCTCTGCCGCCTCAGGCGAAGTGAATGCAGTGCAGCTCTCCCGGCCGGTTCCGGCACAGCGGCTTCACCACCCGCCGGGTCCCCTCGCACCAGTGGCTGCTGCCCAGGGCGGTGAGGGCGAAGGCCAGGGCCAGGCAGATGGGGAGGAGGGTCAGTGTCTGCTGCAGTCTGGCCCTGTCCATGGTGGAATGAGGTGAGCGGGGGGCGGGACGAGCCACGGGCCCCCTCCTCCTGTCACGTCACGTCACGGTACCTGGTCGCAGCCCTGCCATCTGGCGTCCTGACCCGGCCTCCTCTCCCTGCCCCCTAGGGAGCCCGAGTGTGCTCCCCACGCCGCGTCCAGAGGCACGCAGCTGCACACGCTCCGTCAGGGGGCTTGCCCCCGGCCTCCCCAGGATGCGCAGGTGCAGGAGGGCACTAGGCTTCTCAGAAAAACACTGCGGTAAAATACACACAGCCTAAAATTCACCATGCTAACCATGTTCAAGTGTGCGGCTCGGCGGCATGAAGTCCGTTCCCAGTGCTGCGCAGCCGTCACCACCACTGTCGCCACCGCCGTCTCCAGAACTCCGCTCAGTTTGCAAAACTGAAACTCTGTGCCCACGCACAAGTCCCCATCCCCTCTCCCCCAGCCCCTGGCAGCCACCCTTCTACTCTCCGTCTCTATGAATTTGACTTCTCTAAGGACCTCATGCGAGTGGAATCACACAGTATTGACTCTTCTGCGTCTGGCTCCTTTCACTTAGCACAATGTCCTCAGGCTCATCTGTGTTGTGGCATGTGTCAGAATTTCCTTCTTTTTTTAGGCAGAATGATATTCCATTGTGTTGATCGTGTCACAGTTTGTTTACCCATTCATCCGCCGATGGACACCGGGGTGGCTGTTGTGGAAGGCACCGATTTTGACCAAAGACCAGGGGTGGTTTGGGTGGGTGTCTGGGTGACACTGCTCTATCCTTGCCTTTTGCATGGAGTTGCACGGCGTGCACAGTGTTGGATTCCAGAAACAGGGAATCCGTGGGCCTGTGTCTTGTCCGGCCGCTTATTTCGAGGCCCTGCGAGAGGCGAGGCACAGGCAGGCTGCGTCAGGGCCCAGGTGCTGTGCGGAACGGGGAGAAGGTGTGCACCCCACTTGGGTGCAGAATTCAGCACCGTCCTGGGGCCTCGGGAGCTGGCAGAGCCTCAGCACCACCACTCGGGCCCTCAGCAAGGGGGCACTGGCAGGAGTGGTGACATTGGAGATCCTTAAGGAGCAGAGGGCATGGATGCAGGAGCGAGGGCAGAAGCAGATTCCACGGGGCATCTGAAACACACGGGTTATCGGTCACATGCTAGACACGTCCCGGAAACCCCCAGCTCTAACCTGGGCAGTAGGAGAAAAAGGGCAGTGACTTTGGGTTAGCATCACTCCGTCTGTCCTTTCCTGCTGGCCGAGACTGAGCAACTGAGTCACGTGCTGTCGGTGGCCTCACGCACCATGCACCTGTGTCCTGGCTGCTGCCCAGCAGCGTGGGAAGAGGCAGTACCGTGTTGGGTCACTAGATGGCACCCACCAACAGGTGGGGAGGTTGTGTGTGGCCCCACGCTTGTCTTTCCAGGAAAAAGGCATCTTTCAGAACAGGTTCAAAGAGACGAGGTAGAATATTCTTAGAAAGTAGACGTTTTCCTTCCCAGCACGCGGCCCGGAAGGTCGTCTCCAGTGTGCAGTGACAGAGCGTTACAGCCACATCCTACGATGGGCCCTGTGCCTGGGCATGCTCTCCCTCTGGGTCAGGGTCACTTGGTTCTGCTCCCTGCTGTCCCCTAGAGATGACCACATCGATCCCAGACGTCACCCCATCCAAGAGTCCATCTTGGGGGGCTTTTTTCAGATTCAGCATTTTACTGCTACGGCTCAAAATCGTGCCCTGTGGAGCTTTGAAGATTTCCAGGGATTTCTAAAGAGCGCGGCTCACCTGCTCCCCACGGTTCTGAACTCCTCAGTGAGAGCAGGTAGCCGAGATGAGCTCCTGGTCTGCCTTGGATGGGAAAGCAAAAGCAAACAAAACTAAGTGACAACAGATTCTCCTTACCTCTTGCTGACCTGAGGTTCGTCCAGTCAGGAACTCTTCTACCCTGGGCCTCCAGTGTGGGAGACTGGGAGAAGTTGGAAGCGGATGCCGGGAGCTGGCGGGGACAGAGGTGGGGTGAGGCAGGGCCAAGCGGATCCTTCAGGGGCACAGGGATGATCCTGCAGGGGAACAGGAACTCACCCAGAGAGGGCAGGGGGCAGCAGGGGCATCCTCCCAAGTAGCTGTGTTCAGGTGACTCTGGTCAGAAGACCTGGGTATCCTGTTTACTTGCTGTGTGGCCTTGGGCAAGCAGCCTAACCTCTCTGAACCTCAATGCTTGTCAGCTGTCCAGTGGAGAATTAGTCGTTCGGGGTTACTGTGAGGATAAATGAAACAGGATGGTGGATGAGAAGATGTTGTAAATGTGAATTGTGGTGAGAATGTGCTAATCCGTTCGTTAGTAAGCGGCACGTCGGGAATTCCGTACAAAGGGTCTGCCAGGTGGGCTGCGCCATGCTACTCAGAACACGCGGGCATTCAAGGGGAGTGAACGCTGGCCTTTTCGACACGCGGTTTTGCTATGGTGTGGACATCACCTGAGCTGCTGATTGGGGTTTTGCTTCAAACCCTGGGGTGGGAGCTGGGCCCTCACGTCGAGTCGGCATAGACGGGGCCGAGGAAGCCCTGCCTCTGCGGCTGCCTCCGCCCGGCCGCACAAGCCTCATGCCTCGGAAAGAGACAGCGCCCCTCAAAAAGACACTGCCTCTGGACTGGCTCCAGGCCTGTCACCTCCCGCCCGCTGCTGCTCCTCCAGCTCGAACCCGAGCCTGTCCCAGCCGGGCCTGGTGCACCGAGCAGCGGCCGGACCGCTGGCTGCCGGCTCTTCCTGCCTGGCCTGCTGAGGCGTCGGGAGGGGAGTGCAGCTGACTCGGGCAGGTCTGGGGAAGCTCTCCCTGCTGCTGGGGGGGCGGGCGGGGGGTGAGCCTCTGTGATGAGGAGCTGGGAGATTCGGAGACCCGGTAGGTCGCTCTAGACCAGTTCAGACGCCCTCGGCACGGCGGCGGGGATAGGATTTGTGCAGACGCTTCCTCTCCGGAGAGGAGGCATGCAAGAGGAGGCTGCTGCGGTTCATCTCGGGCTGTGAGATGCGCCGCACTTGCGAGCGTGCGCGAGGAGGATGAAGCCAGAGCCCGACGGCGCGAGGCCTGCGAGAAGAGCGCGAGCCCTGCCCGGGGTCCCCCAGCTGCCCATGGGCACCCCTGCTCCCCGGGGGGACAGCCCTGGCCCCTCCCACAGGAAGCACTCGCTCTGGACCCCTGGGAGGCCCTTCCTCACCCTGGTGCTGCTGGTTTCCATCAAGCAAGTAAGAGCAGTTCATTACGGTTATTGCTAACGCTTATTATTATTATCAGTTGTGCCTATTTTCTGATTAAAGAAGCAATTCAGGCCTCTGGTAGGCAATTTGGAAAAGAGAAAATAGTAGTAAGGAGATAACGGTCAACCACAATCCTAGCATTCAGAGGTAAGCACTGTGAATATTTTGGCATATTTCCACAAATCCTTTTTCTATGCATTTTTGTACAAACTGAATATGAAAGCCATAACGTATTTTGTATCCCAGTTTCCCTTTTATTTAGTTGTGTAACATTTCTCACGGTGCAGATCAAACTCGTGTTAGTTAAAACTGCCGCGTGCACATGCCTGGTTGCCTTTAGCTCACCTAGGATCTAAGTGTTTCGGTGGAATGGATAGTTGTCTTGCTTTTCCTTCCTTTCCTTGCTTTGCTCCCCTTCTCCGTTCCTCTTGCTCTTCCTTCCTTCCTTCTTCCCTTCTTCCTTCCTTCCTTCCTCTTCCTTCCTTCTTCCTTCCTCTTCCTCTCTCCCCCCCTTCCTTCTCCTCCTCCTTCCTCTTCCTTCTTATAAAAATATAGAATGCTCATTGTTAAAAAAAAAAAATAGAACTCTAAAATCCAAAAAAGTTAAATACAACTACAAATCACTGTAATTCCACCAGCTAGAGATCCCCCTCATTCGCATTTGGGGGCTTGTACTTCCAGACATTTTTCTACCATTTGTTTACAAGCAGCACTTTAAAACAAACATAGGCATATACCCTAAATATTATTTTTCATAACAAAATACACGAATAGTGCAGCTGACGATTTTACCGAGTTCCCTCCCCTCCCCTTCTCGCTATCTCTGCTGTGCTCCCAGCCACGCTGTGAGGGACACGCTCTTGTTCGTCTCATTTTATGGATGAGGAAACTGAGTCTCAGAGAGGTTGAGTAACATTTTCTGTGTCAGCAAATGCAGATCCATGGTGTAATATTTAAGGGCTTTAAGGACGTATCATGATGTATTTAGTTAATCCGCTGGAGTTGGGCATGCTGGTAGCCCGCCTAATTCTTATCCAAGGAGAGTAGACCTCTGCCCCTTCCCTTTGCAAGGTTCGTTTTTATACTGGGCTATGAAGGGAAAGAACCCCAATTCCCCTCATCGGAGTAAAGAAAGTAGATTAAGGAAGGGCTCTCTTCTTCATTGCTTCCACGGGCAGGGTTGGTTCCTGTTTGTAGCCTTGGCATTCTACATCCTGCCCCCGGGCAGCGAGGGCTGCGGTGCCAGGTCTCATACGTTCACCTTAGTGCCCTTAGTGCCGGGACCAGCGAGGCGGAATTCTCTGCATCCGAATTCTCCCAGCGGCTGCCTACACGCCCAACCAATGGTTTCATAGGATTCTTGCCCTGATGCCAGAGCATCATGGAGGGGCAGGTGGCCCCTGGCCTGCCTCCGGCCCCAGGACTTCAGTCTGTTAGTGGTGGGGCCGTTGCTGGGAGAGTTAATAGAGAATGCTCATCCTTGCTTCAGTTCTCTGACTATGTCATCGTATCCAGATGATTGTGTAATTTTGTTCACAAACACGTACGGATCGCCTACTCCATGCCAAGCCCCGCTGCAGCACTTGGCATGTGATTGTGAAATGCCTCCTCACACATCATCTCATGTAATCCTCACAGCAAGCCTCCAAGAGTATTATTACTGAACCCATTTTACAGGCGGGAAGGTTAAGCTTCAGAGGAGTGCAACGATTGCCCTCGTTTGTGTAGCTCGTGAGCAGTGGAGCCGCTGTGCCTACCCGGGGTGTCTGGAGTCCTGTGTTCTTTCTTCTCCGGTGTTCTTGGGAGCTGCTGACATATGAATATGTATAGTAACCACAGGGCACTCTGCAGAGCCTCAGGCCGGCTTACAACACTGACAAAGCCACATCTGGCTCACTTCGCTCTCCGGTTTCCGTGATCAATAATGTGCCCGCTGGCAGCGGCCCCTCCCACCCGCTGCCACTAAAGCCTCTCACACAGTCTGTCCTCCAGCGTGTGTCTGTAATCCTGACGGCCCTCCCCTTGGTTCTCGTCTTAACCCCATATTCTTCCCCCACATGTTTATATTACAAGGCTTTGTGAAGACTTTCATGATGAATTTCGCTCATAGACTCTTTCCCCGCATGGAATATAAATGACCGCGGTGTGCTTTCTGGCAGGAAGTCCTTATAAAATTCACTTAATGAGACATTCTCAGGGATAGTTTAGTTTCTAAACTCAAGCAGGGAAACAGTGCTATCTCCACTCACCCTGTACTCACTCAAGTCATCTAGCTGTTGCTTCTGCATCAAGAAACCTAAATTACCTAAGGCTCTTTGAGAAGTGAATTTGTGGCCTTTTTCTACATAGCAGGTGGGAGTGTAAAATGGTGCATATTTTAAATTAAAAAAAATTTTTTTTTGTGTGGGGATAGTTTGGCAGTACCAAATTGTTCACGCAGTATCAAAACCCTTTAAAGCTATGTATACTCTGTGATCCAGAAATTCCAAATCAAAGAATTTCTCCTAAGAAAATAAAGGTGTGCTCTCCAATGTTTAACTATGGGGACTTTTATCACAGCATCATTTATATTAGCAAACATCTGAAAACAACTTAGGTGTTCAATGCTAGAGGATTTAAAAACTAAATTGTAAAAAAAACCCCTAAATTGCATCCCATTTTCATCGAATATTATGCAGCTGTTAAAAAGAGGTTTTGTTTTATTTATTATTTATTCCTTAAAATGGAAATATTTTCATGATATATCATCTTGTGAAAAATAAACGGTTACAAAACACTATAATTTACTTTTTGGTTAAAATAAAAAAAAGGAAGAAAGAAAAGTGGTTCATGTATGTAGAGAGAAGAGTCTGGAAGTAGATGGGGATTTCTGAGTGATGAGATGCTGGATCCACCTTCCCCCTCCTTTGCTTATCTGTGATTTCTGTCTTATCTACAGTGCAGTGCATTCCTTTTCTAACAGAGAAAAGTAGATTCATTTAAAGAGACTCAGTAGAAGGTGTTTTATTTTATTTTCTCCTTTTCACTGATGCTGGGTGTCTATGCAAGCAACAGAGGAACAAGGCCAAACTGGAGTTTTCCAGTCAGAAAAAACTCACTCACGTATCTTCTTTCCTCATAACTGTGCCTGGGAATCTGGCTGCACTTGAACTTGGATTTGCCTCTTGTGTGTTTGATGTCTTTGGGGCAAGGACCTTGGAAGACAGTCTGAGTTTGTCCAGCTCCCTTCGGCTGACCAAATTCAGTACTTTTTAGTTTTAGTTTGTTTTTCTGCTTTTGGCCACGGCCATTAGCCACGGCAAAGAACAGAGTCTAGGGAGTGCCATTCAGGGTCTGGTCGTGTTGCCTCTTCCTTAACTGGGTCCCGGTGTGGTCCCTGAGGCACTTTACTTCGATGGCTTTGAGGATTCTGGAAGCTTATTATCTGATTTGCATCTCACCTGCTGAGTTTGTAAAAATAAAAATCAGATATGGTCCCATTAGGATGTTTATTTCTTTAAATAATATGTTATTAACTTACATATTGACTCCTGGGCCATAACTCAAGAGAGATATATTAATTTAATAGAGATTTAAAACTCATTGGAAAGTGAAACTAAGGAATAAATGCCAATTACTGTGTCCTCATTATTATTACTTAGTGGCTAATCCCATGGTTCCCAAACTGGGTGCTATGGTATACCCCAGGGCACCACCGTGAACTCACAGGGGTGCTGTGAGATATTTTAAGTTTTCCAGGCAAGCACAATGATATATGTCACCTGCCAGACACTGTGCAAACGACTAGCTGAAGGTATTCATGCTTTCAATGTTAGATCACACTTCATTCCTTCTGATGACGTGGTATCTTTGCAAAGCAGGGTTTTCTTCATGTCCTGTGATTAAAAACAAGTATTGCGCAAAAATCCATGTGGAACAGGAAATGAAGGTGATGGTGTCCGATCTGATTCTAAAGCTTGAGAAGTTATGTAATGGTCAATAGGCACTAGGTTAAGACATAAATATTTATTAAGTTGTTTAAACACACCTACTTGATAAATGAGACTTTAGATACATCTTTTGGCTTAAGAGTACTGTGGAAAAATTACTGAGACATTAAGTTTGGGATCTTCCGGTCTAATGATAACCACATTAGCTCTTCCTCAAAAAGTTGGCTCTATGATTTTCTGGAAAATATGCAAAGGAATTACCCACAGACCCCATCATGGGTGCCCGGGTGGCAGGGGTGTTGCTGGGCGGAGGAGGGAGAGGGTAGATTAGACTAATTACTCAGGGAGTGAAAACTGCCCACGCATTGATGGCTGCCTGTAGATGGAATGGGGGGGTTGATGTGTGTGTGTGTGCATGTGCATGTGCGTGTGTGTGCATGTGTCTGCGTGTGCGCATGTGTGCGCATGTGTGTGCATGTGTGTGTGCATGTGTGTGCATGTGCGCATGTGTGCACATGTGTGTGCGCGTGTGTGCATGTGTGTATGTGTGCATGTGTGTGTGTTTAATGAAATTTAAGTGCCTTTAGGTATGGCATCTCCCCAGTTTATGGTAGGCTCCTGAATTCCCTATTGTTATACCTGTCCTGCCTCATTCTTTTGGGTTATCTACCTGGCCCAAGAAAGCATTTGAGTTTGTTGCCCCTTGTGAGAGGAGACAAAACCTCAAAGCCAGCTTAGGAACCAGGTGATCTTAGATCAGATCATTTATTTAACCCCTCCTGTGTGCATTCCCCTGCCCTGCACCCCACAACTGTTTGTCTGTTTCTTTGGCTGGAAAATTAAGGACAATGAGTGCAGTGCCTCCCCGTGCTAGGGCTTGAATCCAGAGGTGAAAGACATATCTCTGCCCTTGAGGACCTTGTAGGGTAGTGAGGGAGATGGATGTGTGGCCCACTGATGCACCTGCAGTGTGATGGGCCGGAGCAATCAGTCGTGCAAGGGGTCGGAGGGCATTGAGGAGGAGGGTGACGAGCTCAAGACTCCAAGGAGAGAGGTAGTCAAGTATGGCCAGGGTTCACTAGGCTTGAGTTGGGCCTTGAGGGATGAACAGGAGCTCACCAGGCAAAATCGAGGGCAGAAGGGAGTGCCAATGGGGAGTGCAAAGATGGGAAGTTGGGAAAGAGCATAACTTGGGAGAGCGAGTGCTGAGATTCTAAATCCTGAGTTGATGGTGCTCAGGTCCGTCCTGTGGTCCCGTCACTCTGGAGCAGGGTGGAGGGTAGACAGTGACACCAGGCCAGAGACGGAGCGAGTGGCAGGTGGGGACAGACAGGAGAGAGACTCGGGAGGTAGAGTTGATGGACTCTGGTGCTTTGTTGGGGAGCTGAGAATGACTCCTGACTTCCGATTTGGGACTGAGGGACGGTGGTGCCAAGGCCTGAACCACGCTGGGGCGGAGCTGCAGGGAAGCCGAGGCTGACACGCTACAACGCCACTGGGCTGTTTGTGTCAGCCGATGATAGAATTGCCCTATCTTCAGCAGCTTCTAAACCCTTTTAGGGCAGGAACTGTGTCTTGCTCATCTCCGCACCCCCTTCGATGCCTCCTGGACACAAGGCCTGGCACGCAACAGGTGCCTGACGGAGATGAGGACATGGAACGATAGGAGACAAGGTCCCTTTTCAAATCAAGATAAGTGGCACAGGCACACGATTAGAGGCAACCCAGTTATCTGGGAAGCCTAAAAGTATTTCCAAGGTCCTACGGGGCAGGGTAGTCAATGTCAGAAAGAGAAACCCCAAGGCCTCCGTCCAGTGCAGGGCGTCGGCCACTCAGTGCCTCCGGCTCTGCGCCGGGACGGGGCAGGCCCTGCGATTCTCCCGGCCCTTCTGCCTCCCGTCATCGCGTCTCCCTCAGCGTGACGCGTCTCTCTCTGGGATCCAAGCAGCCTTAGGAGCCCGCGGCTGCTTGTGTGGAAGGAAGGGTGCGAGAGTTTAGGATAAGAATATTGCATTCCCTTGGAATGTCAACTTCACTTAACGGTTCTAAGAAAGATCTTTCATATTTGCATTAACACCAATGCGATTGGACTATGCAGTGGATATAAAATCTGTAAATATTTTTAAGATAGAGCATAAGATGCCAAAGAACTTCGGTCCCCGTGCGGTGGGCCATCACGGCACTTCCGCGAGAAGGTTCGAGAGTCGTGGCGGGAAACGACAACAAGCCACACCTGTGCGTGCGGCTGACTGGGGCGACCCTGTCTTTGTCTGCTCAGGTGACAGGCTCTCTCCTTGAGGAGACAACGCGGAAGTGGGCTCTGTACAAACAGCAGTGTCTGCGAGACTTGCTCGAGAAGCCTTCTGGTAAGCGCATCTGCTCGTCCTCTGTGGCTGTGCAACAAATCGTCCCAAAGCTCAGTGGCTTTGAACAATAATAACCGTTTGTTAATGAGAGGTGACCGTTGTTGTCTCAGAGTCCCTGTGGGCAGGAGTTCGGGCGGGGCACGCTGCCATGGTCGTGTCGGCCCTGCAGCGTCTGCAGTTTGGCTCTGCGGGCCGATGCTGGCTCTCAGCTCGGGTCAAGCTGGGGCTGGTGGCCAGGACACCTCCCCACGGCCTCTCCACCTGGCCTGGGCTTCCACACAGCGTCGTGACGGCTGGGACCCCAAGGGCTAGCCTGACCAGAGGCCACATGACCCGGCCTGGGAAGTCACACTACGTCTCTCCTGCCATGTTCGACTGGGCCGGACAGTTACAAAGGTCCACCCAGGCTCAAGGGGAGGGGACACGGACCCCCACCTCTCCATGTAAGGGAACATGGCAGATGGGATGCACCTGGATGCGGCCATCTTTGATAAAAGCCACCTGCCACAGCACACATGCCACGGGTCACAGCCGTGAGTAACACTGTAGATTAACCTGGTGATCTACTAGGGGGGAGGGGGATCCCCCATCTCCCAGAGCATTAATGGACTCTGAGTAATAACATGTATCTTATCCAAGTATGCACAAAGTGCAGAACATTCCAGCAAAGGTGCAACAGTCACCTGCCCACATGCTGGCTCTGTGGGTGAGTCTCTGCCCACCTTAAAAGAAGGAAGAAAGTGTCTTGGCCCATTGCCTCTGAGCGCTGAGGCCTATGGTGACAGCTGCTCCTCCTCCCCCTCCTCCTCCTCCTGGCTTCTTTCAGATCACTTCACTCAGGGCCCTGGAGGTGGACAGGAGACTGTGGGCTCTCCCTTCCTTTCCTGACCCCAAAGCAGTCCCTGGTTCAAGCCATTCCCAGCTCCCTCTGAAAGCCCTGTCGGCCCAGGCAGGTGGCAGTCAAGGCTTGATATCGGCTGCAAGGACCACCTCTCATTTGGAGGATACTGCTTTCTGAGGTCACGGGGGAGGCTTTCTTCATCTGGAGCCATGCCTCATGGGCTCAGCACCACCCTGCACAGACCAGGCAGCACTTGACACAGTGCCCCAAGCCCGCTCTCACCCAGCAGGTCTGCATGTGCAGGGCTCTAATGCCAGGACCCGGCTATTGAGGCCTAGTAGGGAGCAGATGGTGGGAATGATGCTTAGTGTCCAGGAGCCAGGAGCTTGCAATATGGAACTTTGGGACCTCGCCGGAAACACCTCCATTTGGTTCTGGGAGGCCTATAAGGCTGTTTTAAGTTTGCGGCTTTCCATTGCAAAGCACCAGTGTGTAAATCACCCCCCGAGCTGGAGAGAGTCCACATATCTCATCATGACCATTGAATTAGTAGTCAAATGGAGAGATATGACTATGTGGTGCTCATGTTGGAGATCCGTGACCAAGGACCTCAGTTCTGCAGCTCCCTGTATTCACTGGTCACTTTACACGTCTCACAGGGTAGGTGTGTTCTAGGATCTAATTGGTGAAAGAAGCTGAACAATTATTTAGTAAATTATGGAATGTAAGGCACAGGGTGACCTCCAGGTGTCCTCCTGACCGTGTTTCTGTGAGAGTTCAGTTCATGTCAAATACAGCAAAATCAGCATGATACGTGTTGGCATCATTGACTGAAGGTCAAGTTGGGCAAACACATGATGTTTGGGGCTGCATTTGGCATTCCTGTGCTTCCCAAATCACTCCTCACCCTTGACCTGTCTAGAGAGGGAGACCCGCACGCTGGTTCCTGCAGAGCGTGCACCAGCTTCCAAGGCCGGGAAGGTGGGCTCTGGGCTCCTGGGTGCCTCAGCCTCCAGCCGTGGACCCTGGGCCCCAACACTGATGTTCCTTTGGGCCCCTCTTCTCTCCGCAGGTGTATTTTGTAACGGGACATTTGATCAGTACGTGTGCTGGCCTCATTCTTCTCCTGGAAATGTCTCGGTGCCCTGCCCTTCATACTTACCTTGGTGGAATGAAGGTAATAATTCCTATTTTACATTTGCAACAGCTCCTTTAAAAGCTGGTCCCTACCGGGCAGGCCAGCAGTTAGAGAGAAGGGTCCAACCAAGTGCTTTTCTCAAGTCTTCTTTCCCCACAAAGGGTCTCCTAAGCTCTCGGTGATATGTCTTCCTTCTCCCATTTTCTTCGAGATTCTTCTACTCCTGGACGTTCCGTTTCTGTAATAGTCTCTTACTTTGAGGATTATAGAGTACAGACCTGGTGACCACAGCATTCAGCTCTGGTGAGGATAAGAAGAGGAGAAAGAGGTGGGGGAGAAAGATCAAGATGCTCACATCCACATGACTTTTGGCTCGTTAGACGGAGAGGAAGGACTTTAAAACTACCCTTGCATCAGCTCTGGAGGGAGGCACCACTGAATGGGTGCTTTTAAGCCCCATGAGACTTAGATGGAGAATTTAACCATGTAGCTTGCCATGATCCTGTTTACAGGAAGTGAATATTACTTAAGAACCCAGAATAATGTCTCATCCTTACCTGCCCCAGAAGCTTGGCCTCTTGGTTATCTTGTTCTGGAAGAGGAGAGAAGCAATTCTTGGTTAGAATCCTGTTGCCTTTGACCACAGACATAGGCAAATATAAGAACAGCTAAAATTATTCTCAGGAAACATAAGTGGTTACAAAGCCCCAGGCAAAAAACAAGAGGAGGATCAGTTTCTGAGAGGGTAAGATGATAGCATTTTGTATTTAATTTCAGCCCAGTAAATCATCCCATTAGTGTAAGCCTGGTTTCAATTTTTTGAGGCCTCTAGAGCAAAGAGAGAGAGCTTAGAAAGAAGACACATTTCTGGGTGGGAGAGTCAGTGGCCTATTTTTATGGAAGTGGTTTCTGATGAAATCCAGTTGGGATCAGCCCAGGAGGCGTGAGGGTGCGAGATTTAAGGGAGGGTGGAAGAGGAGATGCTAGAGAACTTGTGGGACCAGAGGGATCTGAGTGACTCAGGCGAACAGTCCCCATGGGAGCAGCTCAGTGACGTTAGGAGCTCCAAGGTCAGACCCGGCCCGTCTATTTCACACTTGGGCAAGTTCCTGGAGCCCTCGGATCTGTGGTTTTCTCATCTGAAAAGTAAGTCAACAGTAGCCAACTCTTCAGTTCATTTTGAGGGGTGAATGAGAAGGCAGGGACAGAGTGTCACACAGTAGGTGCTTTGTGAATGAGAGCTGACGCTGAGTTGGAGTCCGAGCCCCTTGGGTCCATCAGGTCTTTAAGGTCCCCGGTGTCCACAAACTCCCAATGCCACGTGGAACAGACGACTGCCTCCCAGCTGCACCCCCCCGCCCTCCCCAACAGCTGGTAGAAAGTGATCAAAAATCCAAAGATAGAAAGAAGTTCAGTTACAGGCTCTTTTTTAAAGAAATGAATCTGTGTTGTTTGCGGAGTGTACAAAAGCAGTGTGCCGTGCAACAGGTGGGAAGTCGCTCTTCTGCACATTTTGTGCATTCAGCCTTGTGCGTTAGTCCAAGTGGGTCCCTGCAGTGACAAGGGGACCTGGAGACAGTGGAAGGGTGCAGAGAAGAACATCTACAAAAGCAAAGGGCCAGGGACGGTTCCTTGTGACAGGAGAGTGGAGGGAACGAGCATCGTCACAGGAGAAGGGAGAGTCCAAGGCGAATGCAGGCTGGGACGGCCTTGAGGACCAACGAAGCAGGCGAGGCTGCGGCCGATGGTGAAGGGTCTGTGCGTTATGCACGGAGGGCTTCAAAGGCTCCACTGCAGAGGAGGATGACATGGAGCCCTGGGCGGCGTTAAGGCACAAAAGAAGAACATGAGCTTCGTGGCTGGGGAGGATGACGTTGACAGCATGTGGCCACTGCAGGGAGGCGTGGAGGAGAGTGGGGAGGTGGGGAGGTGGGAGGAGAGTGGGGAGGTGGGGCTGGGGGCTACTGCCGTGGTCCAGAGACAGGGATAAGGAGGGTCCAGACCCAGGCTGAGGCAAGAGGTGGGAGACAAGGGGAAAGATGAAAGAAAAATACTGGGGGTGGAATGGTCACAACTTGTCACTAGTTGGAGTAGAAATTGAGGGACCAAGAGTGGAAAATGGAGGGGAGGAAAACAAACTCCTTCCCCTACCTCCATTCCCGCCTCAGGGATGGTCTCACGTCCCGCCTGGTCCCACCCAAAGCGCCCGCGTCTGCCCGGTAGCCCGGTCCCTTGCTGCAGCTCACCAGCGCCCTGTTTCTGCTCACTGCTCTGCTCACTGGTCCCCACCTCAGATCCGGCCCCCTCCGCCTACCCCCCATGAGCTTTCTAAAACGCCAATGGCATTATGCCGGCCCCACCACGACACCTACAAATGGCACGCAAGACCTTCTGCCACCCGGCCCTGCCAGCCTCATAGGCGTCCCCTCCCACGACTGCTGTCCCCGCACCCCAGCAGATGGACAACCCCAGGCTCTGCTCCTGCCCAGCCCCGTCTGTCCAGGAGACCCCTCTAGGGCTCTGTCCATGTGCTTCTGCCTATAAACCCCCTGTAGTTCTCAGCTCAAATCATGCACCCTTCTAGAAAATTTCTCAGACTTCTCTCCACAAGTACAGCGGACCCCTGCCTTTCCGAGGCCTCTCCTGTACCTGTGCAATCTTCTGTCTTAGCACGTGTAGCTGCTCATGGCACTTTTTATTGGCACTCCCACAGCTGGACTCTGAGCTGGGCCCTGTTCACCGTTGTGTCCCCCGCACAGAGCGCGATGGCTGCCACTGACATTGCAGGTGCCAGGTGACATTATTGCCATTCACTCAATCAGCAACTGTCTATTGAGTGCCAGGCGTTATATTTAAGTAGCTGCGATATATTAGTGACCAGAACAGGATGAAATCTCTCTCCTTGTGGGGCCCATGTGCTCACAGGAGAGACAGACAATTATTCCCAGACGTCATATGTGATGTTTTTAGACCAGATGGCAGGGGAAGGGAGGGCCGAGTTGGAGTTGTGGGGGTGAGTTGCATTTGTAGGTTGGGTAGCCAGGGGTGGCTTCCACGACAGGGTGACCTTCAGTGAAGACTTAGAGGAGGTGACACTTTAGCCAGAAGGGGTGTGCTCAGGAGGGCAGGAGACCACAGCACCGAGGCCCCGTGTGGGGAGGTGCCTGGCCGCCCCGGGAAGGGCGGGGCAGCGTGGCTGGCATGAAGGGGCAGAGACGCGACGGGTCGGGGCAGAGGGTTTGGGGCCAGATCTCGCGGGACCGTGGAAGTCCGTGAGACTTGCTCTCAGAACGCCCTTGGAAAACCGCTGGCGGAAGCGTGGCCTGGCGCGGGCGACGCTGTCCTGGGCTCGGGAGGAGGAAGCGGCGTCAGGTTCTGGGTGCGGTTGAGGCAGGGCTGGCGGCCTAGCTGGGGGCACAGATGAGTGCCGCGAGAAACAGACAGGAGGCAAGGACGGCCTCGGCGTTGGGGCCAGGGACTGGAGGAGTCTGCATGCACGGAGGCAGATAACATGTCAGGGGAGCAGATTTTGAGGAGAAGTTGAAGAGTTTGGGGAGTGCTGCTCGAGACGTCAGTTAGACACCCTGGCCTCGCCGTGTGGCGCAGGGCGCTGTGCCGTGCGAGTGTCCGGCAGTCAGATTCAGCGGCTAGTTACTGTTGCCCCAAGATGTGCAGGGGCAAGACCAGGAAGTCCCCAAAATTTTCATTCTCGTTCGCAAGTCCAGTCCCTGATCCTCCAGGTAGGAGCACCTTCGGGGAGTGGTGTGACTGAGTCACAGCGGCAGTGAGAGCGACTTACCCATCCCTTGCACACACTCTCGTCCCACTCTTGCCCAAACCGTGGAGCGTCAGTGCCATCATCACCCCCAGTTCCTGAAGAAGAAACCAGGAGCCTTAGAGGCTGGGAGGGCCGGACCAGCACACAGACAGGTGCATGGGCGGCTCATTGGGCTTCACCCAGGTCTGCGGCCTTATGCCCACTGCTCTCTCTTGTTCATGGCATGGCCTCTTGGGCACAGGAGGGTGCCCTGGAGCCAGCCCCAGGAGCCCAGGTTGGCGTCTCCCAGCTGGGCTGTACCTTGGAGGGCTTATAACATCTCTGAGTCACCGGGGACTGTTCTAACTCCAGGGACTTTGGGTAAACACAGCAGACATTAGCGGATGATGGTTTGTTATAAAATTCAGAGGCTTCTATGTTTTTCTTTCCATCCCAAATAAACAGTAAGGATGCTAATGAGCCCCTAAAAGGGGAAATGAGAATCCCTTTTCCCTGGGATTTTCCACAGCTCTGTGGCATGCCCGGGGAGCCGGCTGTGTGTCCTGACCTTTCCTCTAGAGCTGTGTTTACTTTCAGAGAGCTCAGGAAGGGCCCACAGATACTGCCTGGCTCGGGGGACTTGGCAGACGCGCGAGAACGCCACAGATATTTGGCAGGACGACTCCGAATGCTCTGAGAACCACAGCTTCAAGCAAAACGTGAGTTTGCTGGGCTTGGCGATAAGCGTTTGGGGCCCAGACCACCCTCCTCCAGGACACCCGAGTGGCCCCGAAAGGTCCTCCCCCGAGCGTGTCTGCCCCAGGCACGGCCAGCCAAGGGCCACGGTCACACAAAGCAGCAACCCCTGTGGCAGCCTCTGCCCTCCTCCCACTCGCAGGGTGACGGGCGAAATCCCAAGGGAAGTCGGTCCTCCAGGGTCGGCCGTGGCCCTGCACTTGCTGGTCCCCGTGCCTGGAACACCTTTCCCAGCCCCCGCAGCTGCCACCACCTCATCACTCAGGTTTCAGTTCAAATGTCTCCTAAGAGCATCTCCAGTGGCCGCTCCCTGCAGAGCAGGCTCCGTGGTCACTTTCTACCACACTCCCCCGATTTGCACTTCATAGCACCTGTCACTCCCGACACCCCCGTGGGTCTGTCACTCCTGACACCACCTGTCATCTAGCCCTCTCACCAGGATGTAGGCCCAGCAGTGGCAGTGGACGTGTGTGCCTCAAGGCGTGGCACTGCCCTGGGTCTGGGTCAGACTTCGCTTCCTGGCGGTGGGCCTGGTGCAGGTGGCCTCACTTTGCTGGGCGTCCGCTACCCCATTCACCCCATGGGGACCGTGTTTGCCGCCTGCAGTTGTCATGAGGATTTAGAGTCAGTAGATGCAGATTTCTTAGGAGAAAACTGGCACACATAGTCAGCACACCCCCAGTGGGAGTTCCCGCCCTGTCACCAGGGCCCAGCACGGTGACTGGCCAGGAAAGCGTCACGGCTGTGCGGAAAGCATTGTCGGGTGAACAAACACATCCCCGCTTCAGCCTCCCCCCATGCGTTTCTTTCCAGGATCCTTCCCCACTGTACTTTCTTGCTGGGCTCCTGCCCTTCTCCCTAAAGACCCCCTGTTTGCCCGAATCCTGCCCACCTTCCTGCAAAGTGCAAGAGGCAGAACAGAGGAAGAGGTGTTTGGGGACCATGCAGTCATCTAGGGCCGCAGCGCAGTTTCTGTCACTCAGACAGTCGGGCTGCAAACATTAGTGAAGCACCTACTGTGGGCCGGGTTTGCACCAGGCACTGGGAGTAAACAGGGAATGCGATACAGATGCTGTCTTTGAGGAGCTCAGCGCTCAGAGCACTGTGATCACTGCTGGGACCCGGGGTGACAGCAGAGGGGGAGGCTGACACCACTTAGGGACGGGGGAGGAGATGGCCCCTGGGAAGAGTGAGAGCAAGAAAGAGGAACACACACGGGGTCGAGGAGTGCCAGGGGCTCTGGGGCCACTCTGAGGGCGGTGGAGGAGGACACGGGCGGAGGTGGAAGCCTCAGGACAGGTGCGGCGATGAAGGACTCTGCCGTGCTAAGGACTTAGGACTTTGCGTGTTCAGGTAGGCGAGGGCCACGACTCAGGTGTTGAAAGGTTTGCTCTGGCGAGTTGGAGAGAGGCCAGGCATGGGCCAAGCTGGGGGGCGGAGTGGGAGGCAGAATGCAGGGGCAACAGGCAGGAGCCATTTGAGCAACTCAGCCCAGATTTGGGGAGATTGCCAGTGGGGGTGGAAGGAGGGAGGTGGATTTACAGGTTTCCAAGGAGGGGAGCTGTAGGACCAGGTGCTTGGCGGGTCGTGAGAGAGTGGAGTCAAAGACAACGAGATCCCAGGTTGCTGGCTTGGGCCGGGGAGGAGATTGGAAAACATTGCCTCCTTGACATGGGGGACCCGGGAAGAGCCCTTGTCCTCCATCTCTCCTGGGTTCTAGATTTTTCGCTCCCTAATCCTTTGCCCTAACTTTAGCCAGTGAACCTCCCCCCTCCCTTGACCCCTAAGTTGTGGCTAACTTCTTTCATAACTTAATTGATTTTGAAATTCTTTAGCTTTCTTAAGTCATTTTATTATAATATTCTCCCATCCAATGCTAAAGATACTGTACCATTATAGTTTAAAGTTTAGGGACAGGGAGGGCAAGGAGCTCAGTTCTAGAAATACTGTCCGTGCGGCCCGAGCCCCCAGCCTCTCTCCAGCATCCGTAAGAGGGGGTTGATAGCACCGAGTTGGCACGGCCTGGTCGTGAGGCCGGAGAAGGCCGTGAATGCAGCATGAGTAGAACACATCCCGGCACCCAGCACTCGCTTGATAGTTGCAATTATTGCATTTCTTCTCAGAAGGTCTTCCCTGGTCCTCTGCAAAAAGTTCTCTCCCTCCCTAGTCCTCTCTCTGGTCCACTCCTAGGGCTGTGAGCACAGCATACTTGTTGTCACTGTGAGTTTCTGGTGTCTGTGATGTTGGCTTTTCCGCACTGGCTACTTGGTGGTGGTTGTTTTTATGTAACGTTTTAATTGATTTTCAAAAATCGAAAGTTTAGCTTCCTGTTAAGTTATTAAGGTTAATTTATGGAGCTTATTCTATTTATAAATCCGGTGAATTTTAATATTTCTTTCTTAGTTTTTACTTTGTCTTCTACATATTATGCTGTGAGAAGTAGTAATAGTTTCAAGGTCTTTGATTAACTTTTGTTGCCACTTACAAACTAGCTATTTAATTACCCTTTTACCTTGTAAATCGAATAGTCTATTTGAGATGTTTTAAATGGTTTAAATATATTAAATATTTGTTATAAAAAGAAAATCTTAATTCTTAAACAATTCTAATTTATCAACGTCAAAGTTATATGGTAAATCTTAACCCTTCTTACGTATGTCAATACTGTTTTAATCAAGTTTCCAACTTAAAGCTTAAAATTAAGTACTTATTGACATATTTCATATTGTAATCAATAATATTAGTCTATTGGCTCCCCTAATGTGCCATATTCTTGTAACACCAATTATATACAGACTGCCAGTAATTTGAAAAACCTCTATATGAGTGAAGGATAGATAGGTGATAGTGCCAGGTGCAGTTTAATGGTAGAATCTAGGTGGTGGATATACAGATATTCTTTATAAAATTCCTCCAGCTTTGCTGTACGGGCTCCCTGAAAGTTGGCCAACCAGTTCTCCTAAGCCAGGATGACCACACCACTGGGTCATTTTTCCCACTGCCCCTGACATGCGAGTCCCAAGTTCATGTTCTTTGGAGGGGGTTGTTCTTTCCCAGGTTCGAGGTATTTCATTACCTGATTATTTGGTCTAACGGGACTGGCCACACTCCATCCTGGTTGTGGCTCACTTCCTTTAGAGCCCCATGGGCGCTGGCATGACCTTGGCATGACCTTGGCTCTTTTGAAGCCTGTCCCATCTTCCCATCGGGCAGGATGAGCCTTCCACTGGGTCTTCCACGTCCTTGGGGATTTCTTTCTAAACCTCTTTTAAACTTTATTACCTGATTTGAGTTCGCAAAATTCCATGTTCCTTATAGTTTTACTGAGTGAGAGTTCACACCTCTTAAAGGGATCAAAATGACACTTACAAAGTTAAATTGGATTCAGTTTATCTCAAGAATTTCTCAGACCTTTTTACACAAAGCCATGCTAATTGTATGCCTTGAATTAGGTGAATTGTGTATATTTCTTATCTGTCCTGCTTGACTGTGAACTGCTGGAGAACAATGACAAAGTCATAGTCACATTTAAATACCACCCCCAAAGCCCTGGCCTGCTACTGGGGTGCACAATAGCCTTTACATACAGTAGTCACTTAATACATACTGAATGGACGGTTTCACAGATTCTGAGGCAACTGGTCTGTGGTGGGGCCCAGCCATCCACCCTGGTGCCCAAGTTCGCCAGGTGATTCTAACACGCAGCCAACGCTGAGAACGGGGGCTCAGCAAGTGTGAATGTGCCTTAGGTCTGCAGCGGGACGTCCCCAAGTTAGCATGTGGGGACAGCAAACCACAATCTGAAAACTGCACTTTCAAAGACGGGAAGTAAAGATTTCCCTCTTTAGAAAAGGTAGGGCCCACGCCTCCTCCCTCTGCAAATGGCCATATTTCCAAGAATTCAAATACTTTAAAAAAATGAAATAAAAACAACTTCTGGCCATGTTTACCTGTGTTTCTAATCGAGGGTTGAAATTTTGCCCAAAAAAGGCCAGTGTTAGTAAATCTTTGCCCTTCGGAGATTTGGCAAACAAAATATGTTATGTTCTTCCAACTAATGAGACACCAAGGGTCCTTACCCATGTCAAATGGCACTTTTTAAGGAAATTGTGTATGTGTATGTGTGTGTGTGTGCATGAGCGTTAGCAAGTATGTTTACTAATTCATTGGTATGGAATTGTGTTTAGCAGTGTGAAAATAAATTATTTCACCTTATTTCAAGCTGTTTTCGTTGTCCTGAAAAGAAGCGTTTTCTATTCTTAAATACAGAATTTAATTGATATATACACATCAATAGCTATATATGTATATAATTTTAATATTTGCAGCATATGATTTTAATAATATAATTTAATATAATTTATAATATATATCAATTGATCATATTAAATTTTACATTTATTTTGAAATATTCAAACTTATAGAAAAGTTAAAAGCTTAACAAAATAGACACTCATATATCCACTATCAAATTTCAAAATGTATTAAAATTTTGCTACATTTGCTTTCTCTTTCTCTCTCTTTTGGAAATATTTAAAATAATTTGCAGATATCATGAGATTTCATCCCTAAATATTCATCAGGTATTGCTTTCTAAGATTAACAACATTATTCCACACAATTACATTACCATTTTCTCAACTAAGTAAAATTAATAATGATTTCATCATACCACCATACTTCATCCATATTCAATTTCCATCCATATTCAAATTTCACCAGTTTTTTTTCCCCAAACTTTTATAGCTTTTCTGCCCTGGAGCAGGATCATATGTTGCATTTAGTTTTATATCACAGTAGAGTCTTTAATCTAGAGCAGTCCTCCCTACTTTTTTCCACGATAGCATTGGTTTTTCAAAGAGACCGGAAGAGCTTTTTAGTAGAATGCCCCACAGTCTGGGTTTGAATGTTCCCTTGGATTATCATTAAACTCATTCCTCCATCCTCTGTAGTTCCTAGAAAC